CACTTGGGTAATTACACTTAGGTCCCCCACACACACATTTGAGAATTACAATGACAATAAAAGATTGACATTGGCAAAGCTCTACTTGTCAAACAGTCTCAACCATCTAGAGAAAGTCTCAACCAACTTTCATGAGAAAACTAGGTAGTTTTCTTAAAGAAGTGCCAGACCAACCGGGCTGTGGTGGGTATGTGGGTATGTGGGCCTGCGGGCCGCTCCAAGCAACAGCCTGGTGGACCAAGCTCTCACAAGTCAAGCCTGGCCTCGGGCCGGGTTTGGGGAGTACAACTACTCCCAGAACCCCATCAAGCAGGTATCATCTGTTAACAGCCAGCTCACACAGTGGTGCATCCTACCAACCTGAAGACTTGGCCAGAATATCCAGCACACTGTCGCTGCCGGCATATAAACACAAGAAGTCCACGAAAAAAAAATAAAAAATCCATAAAATATAAAAAAGTTCACAAAATATATATACTAGAAGTCAACGGAAAATACTTCTCTCAAACTTTCGGTGTCACTATGGATTCCCCGTCTCTCCTGTTCTTGCCAATCTCTTTATGGAATACAGTACTTCAAAACTGTTTTCCTTCTATTGATATTCATCGCTTTCTCAGACTTCGCTATGTTGACATTTTTGCGTTATGGCCTCATGACCTTAGTCTTTTCCAGCCTTTCTTCTTGTCTCTTAACACTCTGGCTCCTTCCATCCATTTCAAAGTTGAATGGGAATCTAATTCCCTCCTTCCTTTTCTTGACGTTCACAGCTCTGTCTCTTTCTCTGTCTACCGCAAACCTTAGGCTCCCTTACATGCCACATAGTGGCATGTACATTCACTTCTTTTCCTACCATCCTTCTTCTGTTAAGAAAAGTGTTCTCATCTCTCTTTCTCCGAGCTCTACGCAAGCGACCCTCAGTTTCTTGATTCTGAAATTTCATTTATCTACAAATCTTTCTCCCACCTTGGTTACCATTTACATTTTATCAACTGTGCCTATTCTCAAGCTAAACATAATCTCTGTCATCATAAACCTGCTTCGAGCCCTTTTAGCACTGTGCGCTACATTCCCTTCATATCTAAACTCAAAACTCTTACTAATACCTTTCGTCGTCTTGACATAAAGCTCGCTTTTCGACAAACTAACACTTCGTAGTAATCTGGTTCACAGTTCTCCTCATGCTTCTAATGCTGCTGGTGTCTGCTCTGTTTCCTGTTCGTCTTGTCCTCTCCAATACTGTGCGAAAACTGGCCGTACACTTAATGACAGACTTAAGGAACACAAAAGAAGTGTTAAGATGCAGACACAAACAATGCTCTCTTCTGTCATGTTAGGGATTCTAGTCATCCTGTTGAGTGGTCTTCCTCTAAAAATAATCTTTCCTGCCTCTACTTGCTTTTCAAGTATCCTTGATATCCTTGAGAATATCCTTGATAACCTAGCAAACCCAGTACCAGATATTATCTTCCTTGGAGACTTCAATCTACCCAGTTTAAAATGGAGAATAGTAAACAATAACATTATAGCAGGAAATCAACCTGGAAATAACCAACCACAGGTCAGAGAACTACTGAGATTCTGTGACAAATTCTCGCTCAGTCAGCAGATTACAGAACCAACTAGGAACGAAAACATGCTGGACCTGATATTCACGAACAATGATGAGCTAATCAGACATTACTGTCTCAGACACTACGTACTTGGACCACAAGCTCATTGAAGTGCAAACTAACATTAATAACGGTAGTAGGCCCAAGAGAAACAACAAGCGAGAAGGGTTATTCAGTAAATTCAATTTTAATAATAAAATGATAGACTGGGAGAAAATAAACAGGGAACTTACAAACATTCAATGAGAATGTTCTAAGAAATAAAAATCCTACACATGGAATAGAAAAACTGACTTCTGAAGCATATGAAGTCTGTCTGAAACATGTTCCTTTGAGGAAAGCCAGAAAGAGGTTCAATGTAGAAAGAGAACGCAGACGACATTACAAAAGAAGGAAGAAATTAATGGAAATGCTTAAGCAGACACGACTCTCCATACAAAGAAGAAATAATTTAAACAGGGAGATTGAAGAAATCGAACAGAGACTGAAGCATTCCTATCAGACTGAAGAAAGGCAACTAGAACAGAAAGCAATTCAAGAAATAAAGAAAAACTCAAAATTTCTTCACATATGCTAAATCAAAAGCAAAAACCACTGCCAGTATTGGACCTATTTATATTAGTAAAGGTTCATACACTGAGGATGCCAAAATTTCTTCACATATGCTAAATCAAAAGCAAAAACCACTGCCAGTATTGGACCTATTTATATTAGTAAAGGTTCATACACTGAGGATGCCAAAGAAATTAGCGAAATCCTAAAAAAGCAGTATGAGGACATATTTAGCACTCCGATACACAGCATGAAAGTGGAAGATTCAGACAATTTCTTTATGCGTGATATCCAAACACCTGTAAATATAACTGATATCAACACAAGCGTAGCAGATTTTGAAAGAGAAATTGACAATACCTGTACAGGCATACCTCAGAATAAGAGTTTAATCCGTTCCTGGAGACGCCTCGCCTTCCGAAAACTCGCATTCCGAAGTTAATTTCCCCATAAGAAATAAAGGGAAATGAATTAATCCGTTCCTGACTACCCCAAAAACCCCACATCAAACTAAATTTTTATACCTAATTTACCTAATTCATCTAAATAAACCTACAAAACTGTGTTCCAGTTATTACTTACCTTGCTGTCGAGTGCTGTAGGCGTATGGAAGATGGTGAGGAGGGGGGAGGAGGAGAGGAGTTACTGTTTGGAAGGGGAGTCCCATTCCATAATCACATCACATAACCCCATGCCTTGTAACACTATGGATACCACTTCTCTTTCTAAATTTTTCAAACCAGCCCCTGCTTGCCTTAAACTCTTTCTTATCTGCATCACTCGTTGCAGGGGTATTCTTTAGAAGGTCTTCGTGCAACACCCTGGCTTTCTCAGAAATAATGGCCTCCGAAACACTATCACCCCTCAACTCCTTGTCGTGTATCCAAATTAATAACAACTTTTCCACTTCTTCAAGTATTTGTGGTCTTTGTGCCGTTAATGTTCTTACTCCTTTTGCCACTTTAGCACCCATAATCTTATTTTTCTTCTTAAGTATAGTGCATATTGTTGATGTGGCTTTGTTGTACTGCCAACAAAGTTCAACAACATGTGTACCGTTCTCATGCTTCCGAATGATCTCGTTTCTCCTCTATTGTCATCCTCACATGAGCTTTCTGGCCTTTATCCTTACCACTGACTTTCTTGGGACCCATGGTGAGATATATAATAACAAATTGTATAGACAAATCACCAAAAATCCAACAAAACACTGAAAATCCGCGAGAAGAATTGATGTGGGGGTAGTCACTGAGCGCGAGACAATGGTAAACTGAGGGGCGGCGGGGCGGAGGGGCGACGATCGCCGAACCACCACGCGCTAGGTCGGCCTGTACGCGTATCAACAAACTCGCGTCCCGAAGTAACCCTCGCCTTCTGAGACAAATTTTTGGAGTAAATACTGCTCGCCTTCCGAAAACCTCGCATACAGGGACAATCGCATTCCGAGGTACCACTGTATATCCATACACTCAGCCCCGGGTCTAGACTCATGGAATTCAATATTTATAAAGAAATGCAAAGTGCCAGTAACACAGGCACTCAATATAGTGTGGAGGAAGAGCTTGGACACGGGGGAGACCAGATGCACTTAAAGCAGCAGACATAGCCCCTCTACACAAGGGAGGTAGTAAAGCATTAACAAAGAATTATAGACCAGTTGCACTAACGTCCCACATAATAAAAGTATTTGAGAGAGTGATCAGGAGTCAGGTCACTAGATTCATGAAAACCAATGACCTCCACAACCCAGGCCAACAGGGATTTAGAGCAGGAAGATCGTGCCTCTCACAGCTACTTGACCATTACGACAAAATCACTGAGGCATTAGAAGAAAAACAGAATGCAGATGTTGTATACACAGACTTTGCAAAGGCATTTGACAAATGTGACCATGGAGTAATTGCACACAAAATGAGGTCAATGGGTATAACTGGTAAAGTAGGACGCTGGATGCTCGATTTCCTGTCTAACAGAACACAAAGAGTAACAGTCATTCAAATAAAATCGAGTCCAAGCGCAGTTAAAAGTTCTGTACCTCAAGGTACAGTTCTTGCACCACTGCTATTCTTTATTCTCATATCAGATATAGACAAAAATACCAGTCACAGCTTCGTGTCATCCTTTGCAGGTGATTCCCATTCTAATTTCTATTATTACATCCTATATTACACCTTACCTTCCGTACCTTTTGCCTTGCACTTATCTTCCTCTAAGATTTTGGTCTCGCCTCTCTTGCCTTAATGCCCTTGCCTCCCTCGTCTCATCACAATTGACTTGATAATGGTCCAGGACAGACCGAAACGTTGTCGTCTCATCAATTTCTAGTGTGGTTTGGTCAGCATTTTTCAGCCACGTTATTGTGATTTTTCATCTACACAAGTCCCATTGCAGCATCTTAACCTCTTCCTTCTTGCTGATATACAGTATTATGTTGTTCACTCACCTCACCTCTTCCTCTGAAAATGTCGTCGGGATCAATGAAAGTACAATATCTCTTATCGTTAGGCCATTAAGATGATCTTTGGAGAGGTAATTTTTCAGCTTGTTTCTCAAGTAATGAACATAAGAAATATAGAGAAGATTTGTGTTAGAATCACTGATCTAATACTTTGTGTTACTGTATATTCAATAATATATTTCTGTTCAAAGTTATTAGTATCCAGCTTAATTGAGTTTTTGAATTGTAGTTAGTATTTATTTTGTATTTTTATTACTATTAACTACTATTGTGAGAATATAAATATTGAGGTTATACAGTGATAAGTTAGTCTAATTCCTTTGAATGATGTTTTGTTTATTATATTGTATTAGTGTACTGTTGTTGTTGTCTCTTTGCAGATTATGTATATTTTGAAACTTCCTCCACATCACCATATCAAATAAGAAGAATAGAAGAGTTAAATAAGGTAAGCATAATTAATGGTTGAGTGTATGTGTGATGGGATCCAAATACAGTGTGTGGTAATGAGAGCTGTGTGTGCTGATAATTGGTTCATTTAAGGGTAACATAGATGTCAAGGTATAGCATTTAGATTATAAGATTACATATGATCGGTTGGCCGAGCGGACAGCACGCTGGACTTGTGATCCTGTGGTCCCGGGTTCGATCCCAGGCGCCGGCGAGAAACAATGGGCACAGTTTCTTTCACCCTATGCCACTGTTACCTAGCAGTAAATAGGTACCTGGGTGTTAGTCAGCTGTCACGGGCTGCTTCCTGGGGGTGGAGGCCTGGTCGAGGACCGGGCCGCGGGGACACTAAAAAGCCCCGAAATCATCTCAAGATAACCTCAAGATGATGAATGAATGCTTACCTAATGGAATGTTTCAACATCCTTCCTCTTGCATCCTTCCTTTTCTTCATCCCATGAAAATTCAGTTTCAAGTGTTGGGTGAGTGGAATTTTGTATGGGGCTTGTTGAGGTAATTAATGAGCTGCATGTTGGATGGTCTTCTCTTGTCTGACCGACACCTCCTCTTAATACTGTACGTTTTGCTACTAAGTACTCCCAGTCTTACCTGGAGTCAGTTTTCATTTGGTTTTCATTTTTGAGCAGGGGTTTTGCTCCTGAATTTGTCTTGCTGTTGCCGGGTTAATGGGCTTTCCTCATCCCTAACAGCCTGGGTTTTGTCTAGGTACTGTTGTTGTTGTTGATTTAGGAGCGACGACAATCGTGGGATCGGATGCGCCCCGGCATACCCGTGATGGGTTAATCGCGAAGCCAGGAAAGGTGAAACGCCAAGCCTAATCGTGAAGCGAGTGACGCCAATCACTTGAAACTAATACGCCATGTGGCGAAAAAAAAAAAACGGGCAGATGATTAGGGAGTCCCAGGAGTCCCTCAGGGGTGACAAGCACCGGCCCCGCCCCGCACAGAGAACACTGGGTAGCAAAACCAAAACTCGGCCCCCAACTAAAACGCAAAAGTCATCCAGTGTCCTCCGGCAGAGCAAAAGCCGGCCGCCCACCATGGCTGAGGGCACACCAGGCCAGTGTCCTTGACTTGTATACCATGCAAGGTGATGGAGAAGATCGTGAGAAAAAACCTGGTAACACATCTGGAGAGAAGGGACTTCGTGACAAATCACCAACATGGATTCAGGGAGGGTAAATCTTGCCTTACAGGCTTGATAGAATTCTACGATCAGGTGACACAGATTAAGCAAGAAAGAGAGGGCTGGGCGGACTGCATTTTCTTGGATTGTCGGAAAGCCTTTGACACAGTACCGCATAAGAGGCTGGTACATAAGCTGGAGAGACAGGCAGGTGTAGCTGGTAAGGTGCTCCAGTGGATAAGGGAGTATCTAAGCAATAGGAAGCAGAGAGTTACGGTGAGGGGTGAGACCTCCGATTGGCGTGAAGTCACCAGTGGAGTCCCACAGGGCTCTGTACTCGGTCCTATCTTGTTTCTGATATATGTAAATGATCTCCCGGAGGGTATCGATTCATTTCTCTCAATGTTTGCCGACGATGCTAAAATTATGAGAAGGATTAAAACAGAAGAGGACTGTTTGAGGCTTCAAGAAGACCTAGACAAGCTGAAGGAATGGTCGAACAAATGGTTGTTAGAGTTTAACCCAACCAAATGTAATGTAATGAAGATAGGTGTAGGGAGCAGGAGGCCAGATACAAGGTACAGTGGTACCTCGGAATGCGAGTGTCCCTGTATGCGAGTTTTTCGGAATACGAGCAGGATTTCCTCGAAAAATATGTCTCGGAACGCGAGGGTTACCTCGGGACACGAGTTTGTTGATACGTGTACAGGCCGACCCAGCGCGTGGTGGTTAGCGCTTGGCTTGCCTGTAATGCCTCACTTGTTGAAGGAGCTTGGCTTGCCTGTGGCGCCTCACTTGTTGAAGGCGCTTGGCTGCCTGTGACGCCTCACTGGTTGAACAACACGTAACTTGTCTTTAATTGCTAGGACAATCTTCTTCCTCTTAACACTTCCAGAACGATTGATGCTGCTACCAGACATATTCTTGGCCAAAAATGTTCAAAATTACTATGAAAATTAAGAAAGTTATTTAAAAAAATATTTCACTAATGGCGCAACACTGTGAGGCCGCACTGGTTGAGGCGTATAACTGTGACTTGTCTTTAATTGTTAGGACAACTTTCTTCCTCTTAACACCTCCAGAACGATTGATGCTGCTACCAGACATAGTCTTGGCCAAAATGGCGTCTTGGGACGGACGCACATGGTTGACCAGTGTTGGACGGGTCCACTTGGGTTGGGGCAGCTATAGCACGTTAAGTAGGCCGCCAGGAGGAAAAAAATTCACAATATTTTTGAAGGAAACTTCAGCCTGTGCACAATGCTTTTAGGAAACTTATTTATTTGTTATTACATAATTACTAGTACTTATTTCATTTGTTTTTGGCTATGATTAATTGTTCTAAAATTAATGGTAATTCCTGTACCCAGGTGGTCCCTCCTGACGCACCCCTCCCACCCTCCCAACACCACCCACCCACCCCACCCCCCTCCTCCACCATGCGTCTAGAGCCACAGACGGGATTAATACGGTATGGCCGTATTTTCATCCGGCCAAACTAGCTTTTATCCTGTTCCTGTGGCCATTTTGGCCGGATATTGTGATAACTTTATCCGATAACGATTTTGGCCGTATAAGGGCGTTTTCCGGATGTTTGAATCCCGGATAATCGCGGGGTTACAGTACTCCCAGTCTTACCTGGAGTCAGTTTTCATTTGGTTTTCATTTTTGAGCGGGGGTTTTGCTTCTGAATTTGTCTTGCTGTTGCTGGGTTAATGGGCTTTCCTCATCCCTAACAGCCTGCGGCGATCGTCGCCCCTCCACCCCTCCGCCCATCAGTTTACCATTGTCTCGCACCCAGTGACTACCCCACATCAATTCTTCTCGCGGATTTTCAGTGTTTTGTTGGATTTTTGGTGATTTGACTATACAATTTGTTATTATATATCTCACCATGGGTCCCAAGAAAGCCAGTGGTAAGGATAAAGGCCAGAAAGCCCATGTGAGGATGACAATAGAGGAGACACAAGAGATCATTCGGAAGCATGAGAATGGTACATGTGTTGTTGAACTTTGTAGGCAGTACAACAAAGCCACATCAACAATATGCACTATACTTAAGAAGAAAAATGAGATTATGAGTGCTAAAGTGGCAAAAGGAGTCAGAACAACAATGAAACAAAGACCACAAATACTTGAAGAAGTGGAAAAGTTGTTATTAATTTGGATACACGACAAGGAGTTAAGGGGTGACAGTGTTTCGGAGGCCATTATTTGTGAGAAAGCCAGGGTTTGGACAGATTGGTGGTGAGGAAATCGAGCAGTGAGCCTCAACCAGGACCTAGTGGCACTCAGATAAAACGTCCCAGGGAGAGCACACCAGAAAGGTCTTCACTGCCTGATGTGATAATGGAAGGGGACTCCCCTTCCAAACAGTAACTCCTCTCCTCCTCCCCCCTCCTCACCATCTTCCATATGCCTACAGCATTCAACAGCAAGGTAAGTAATAACTTGAACATAGTTTTGTAGGTTTATTTAGATGAATTAGGTATAAAAATTGAGTTTGATGTGGGTTTTTTGGGGTAGTCAGGAACGGATTAATTCATTTCCCTTTATTTCTTAGCGTCTCCAGGAACCAATTAAACTCTTAAACTGAGGTATGCCTGTATCATCTGGGAGAGGAAATTCTTCAGGAGTCAGAGAAGGAAAAAGACTTGGGGGTTGATATCACGCCAGACCTGTCTCCTGCAGCACATATCAAGCGGATAACATCAGCGGCATATGCCAGGCTGGCCAACATACGAACGGCATTCAGAAACTTGTGTAAAGAATCATTCAGAACTTTGTATACCACATATGTCAGGCCAATCCTGGAGTATGCAGCCCCAGCATGGAGTCCATATCTAGTCAAGGATAAGACTAAACTGGAAAAGGTTCAAAGGTTTGCCACCAGACTAGTACCCGAGCTGAGAGGTATGAGCTACGAGGAGAGACTACGGGAATTAAACCTCACTTCGCTGGAAGACAGAAGAGTTAGGGGGGACATGATCACCACATTCAAGATTCTGAAGGGGATTGATAGGGTAGATAAAGACAGTCTATTTAACACAAGGGGAACACGCACAAGGGGACACAGGTGGAAACTGAGTGCCCAAATGAGCCACAGAGATATTAGAAAGAACTTTTTTAGTGTCAGAGTGGTTGACCAGGAGCCCACCAAGACCCACCCGGTTGAACGGGACCCCGGCACCTCTCGGCCAAGCTCGGCCAAGCCCCCCGAACACCGTCACCCTGCCGGGAGAACCAAGCAGAACACGTAAAAAAAAAATCTATCAAACAATCCCATGACCCAAGGCGATATGAGCGCCAGGCGTCGTACAACCGGACCGTTGAATAGGGATGCCAAACGGCAGTAGCAAAGCCAAAATGCGAAAACAACGTGCTCAGGCAGCCCCCAGAGCTGCCCCGGTTGGTGGTTTAAGGACCTGGAATTGGAGGTATTAGTAAATTTGCCTAGGTTCTATCCGCATCTTCCTTTCTTCCCCCTTTGGGTTTGGTCGCTCTTCCTCTAATCCTCCCCTGCTTCCAGCCCTGAAGCAATTGAGTGTTTCGGGGTTGGGCGGTGTTTAGTTCGGGATGTGGCTCAGTCAGCTCCGGGGGTTGCTCATTCAGAGTCAGGCATAGAGGTTGAGCCTGCTAGTTCCACAAAGGTTTCTGCATCTTCCTTTCAGCCAGCCCCTTCTTCCTTTGACGCCTTTCCTTTGGACTCTTCCTATCACAGGCAGTGGGTGAGGAGCCTGGTTCTGCCCCTTAGGCCCTCTGTTTAGGGAAATTGGATATGGGCCTTTGGGTTCCTGTCAATTCTGTGGCTCCTGGTTCCCTCAGAGGTGGTTTTCCTTTTACTGGGGGAGG